GTGCCTCAATCACCGCATCCCGACCACCCGATATTCTAACGACCATCGTCATTCCGTCTCCCCCGGACACAACATCAGCGTACTTGACCTCACTCTCCCCTGAGAATCCGAGCGTTCTCCCGTTGTCAAGGTTTATGACGAAGTGAGTCTCGTCTGCGTTTTCAACATTATTTTCATCGAGTTCTTTGCTGCGGAACTGACGCGCCAAAACTCCTAAATGATATGCCACTTCCTTCTCAATAAAAATCTCCTTTGCAGGAGAAGTAAGCAGTTTATCTGTGTGAGCGCGACTGACAATCTGAAAGCGCTCGCAAAACGATTGTATCCAGCGTGGTGAAATAATTGAGGGGATAGCCTTTCCCGTCTTGGGATCCATAAAGCTCGAGCTGTACTCTGTACTTTCGGTTGTTCTTATGAGATGAAGGGCAAGGGATTTCATTGTTTTCATGTTGAACTTCACACCGAGCTTACGAAGACGGTCAAACTCCGCCACCAGATCTTGATGTACTGCTTCGACCCAAGCCGCACGTTTGCAGCCACGTCCAGACTTGGCCTTTGAGTAGACGCGCTTGTGTCCGTTCTTCGTCACACGAGTGATCGACGAAATGTGTCCACGTTGTACATCACCATGCTCATTGAGGAACTCAGCCTTGTTCTTCCACAAACGGGACGCTTTCAGGATATTGGCGTTTGGCGTGCCCCTGAAAGATGCCGGAAAATTGCGCACGGCTTTGGCAGGAATGTGTTTATCTCCTTCTGTAAGTGAAGTGCGCATCATCCATTTGACAATTTTGAGTCGTTCAGCGCAGGTGAGAACGTGCTGCAGTGAGCGTGTTGGCACGGGTGTAGAGGCACCGAGCGGCAAAGATGGCGCTTGACAGATTTGTTGAGTTGGAGGGGTGGCCTGTGATGTGCGCGGGAGTGTTGATCGTGCTTGCATTTGCCGTTCGAATGCGGCAACGATTGGGGAAGCCGAAAAGGGCATAGTGAAGAGAATGGCTTAAGGGGGGGAATGTGCTGTGTTGTGAGAGTCGACGAGGATCAATACGAGCTGACTTTATGCATGCATGAAGGAATCCGTCGTCGTCCATCGCGTTACAGTGGCGCGTGGCAACAAAACAGAGTAATCGACACGTGTCGGATGGATTCAGTCGGTTTCGCAATCTTGTCGGACGCATATCCGACAAATGACGATGTTAATATTTTTTCTGCCCTGAGAAAACAGCCCAATTGGCCCAAATACCCACTGTTTTGCCGCGCATTCGAAACATTGGATCAGCTGCCGGACGGATGTCCGACATGAATCTTCCCTGGCTTCCCACCCTCTGTATGTGATCACAGTCTCGAGACCGACTCCCACAAAATGCCGAATCTCAACAATGTTTCGTCCGCCGCCCTTGTTACACCGACAACTCCGCACCCTGCCCCTTCTACACAGACAACGACGCACCTCGCCCCTGCTACAGCGACAATTCCGCACCCCGCAAGTGCTCCGCCGACAATTCCCAACCCCGCCCCTGCTACGCCGACAACTCCGCGCCTTGCCCCCGCTACGCCGACAACTTCGAACTCCGCGGCTGAACCAACTATTCAAGATCAGATCGATGATATTGAGCTGCGCTGTCTTGCCAACACTACTCGAACCAATTATCGTCGTATGCAGACACGGTTTTCCTCATGGCTTCGTTCACATCCTTCGCATCAATCTTTTTTCGATGCGGAAGGTACGCTTAGCTTACAGGATTTGTCAGCTAGTATTGTTAAGGAGTTCCTAGCTATTCAGAGTGACCCAAGCAAATCCCGCCCTCTTGGAATTTCGGGTCTACGAGGTTACCGTTCTGCTATAAGGGCTTTATTCGTGCAGCGAAGACAGCGCATACCGGACTGGGTAGAGAAGGATTTGACGTCGTTCTTTGCTGGCCTCAAACGAAGAGATGCGTCTGAAAGACAGCAAGGTACACGCCGTGCGTTTGAGGGGAAGCAAGTACTGTCGTTTGCTGCTCTGCGAATAATTGGTGAGGAATGTTTGAAGCAAAGCGACGTCGGGATGAGCACATTTGTTCACGTCTACATGTTGCTCACGTGGAATCTAATGTGCAGGTCAAATAATACGTCATTCATAACGCTCCGCCACCTTCAGTGCGACAAAGATTCATTGTCGGTGCTGTTTTCAAAGTCAAAGACGGATCAAGGAGGGGAGCGGCCCCGGGATCCCAAACACGTGTATGCTAACCCTATGATGCCCGAAGTTTGTCCTATTTTAAGTCTTGCGCTCTATTTTACAAGCACGCGCATTGATTTTACGACGGACGAACTATTTGCGGGAGGGCACCAGCAAGACAAGATTTTGAAGGCATTTCATGCTTTACTGCAGAAGCAGGAAGTAGCCCAGCGTTTGAGAGAAATAGGGACACCGCCAGCCTCTGAGCTTGGGAGCCATTGGCTCAGAAAGGGTTCCAGTACGTTTGTGTGTAGTGGCAGCGTTGCGGCACCGTCGATTGTGGCCGTGTGCATAAGATGTGGATGGACGCTAGGCAGTGTACAGGACAGGTACTTTAGGTACGAAGCTGCTGGTGATTACTATGTTGGCCGTACGGTGGCTGGCTTGCCTCTTTCTAGTGCCGCATTCGCCGTCCTTCCGCCCCACTTCCATCGTGATGACGAGGAAGTCGTTACAATACTCCGAAACCTGTTTCCGGGCGCTTGGGGTCGCCCGCGCCTTCGTGAACTTCTATCAATCCTTGCTGCTTCTCTCGTATATCACGAGTCATATTTACGGAAAGTGCTGCCGTCTTCTCATAATGTTAGGTTCAGCGGGGCAAGGGAAAGAAGGAGGGCAGGTTGATGTGTGTGAGTGAAGGAGTTGGTGCCGAGGTTTACTTGGAGCCGTCTTTCGGCGATACTTATACACTTTGAGTGTTACACTATCCCATTACTTTGGCACCTGGTAAACCGTACTCACCATATGCGCGACCAAGCGCGGTCCTCTTCTGGCCCGTCCACACTGTTCTATTTCCACCTTACGAATTGACTATTGACTATCAGTGCACAACAGTTTCTACACATTTCGAGTGACTGTAAACCATGGCCCTATGCATGCAATCGTTTCACACCTTACTAATCTGCATCCAGACATGACAGAATATATTCTTGCACAATGAACAACTTGGCATCTCTCTATTTCCAACAACGCAAAGTCCTGTCATATCTCAGTCCCCATACATGCCCTTGTTTCGTACCTTACTAATTTCGGTACACACTGCCAGACAACTATCACGGATAGCAACAATGTGCATCCAGACTTTCTACACATCTCACGTGATATCCGATGTGAATCACACGAGTACTGTCATCAACTTGCATCCAACGGCGCACCATAACGAGAGCACAGTACAACGTCGCATGCTGACGAGAGTGTAATACAACGGCGCATGCTGATGCAAGGGTCGCATACAGCGTGACGCGTACACTGAATACTCACGTAAGTACATGTCTCTTGCGAGAAATACTTGTTGTACTTTTAATTCACATGTACTGTGCTCGGACACGCGCCGGACCGTATGTAGGCGACGTGTACAAGTGTACGTACACGCAGCAACCTGGCGATGTGTACATGTGTACATCGTACACAAGTGTCCAGCGCCAAGGCCACACGTAATTACCCATTACAACCATGGTGAACAACTTGAAACCCCCGAAATGATGTAATTAAAACGTATACCGATCATTCAAGATATATCACCAGCATGACTGCATATAAGTGGACAATAACATACCAATAGAATTGCAGCATTCGAACCGACACCCAATAGATTTGCAGTATTGCCTATGTAGCCCTATAACGGTTCGGGCCAAATGCAAATTTTCGGCATTTATGCAAATTTGCATGACCCTCCAAAAGTCCACTTTCGTCCCCAGAACCCCAAAATCTGAGAATTTACACGTGTCATGTCCTGATATGGGGTGAGGGTCCGGACCGTTGAGTCATGTACACGTGTCGCTCGATTTTGCACTTTCCACATAACAGCATGTGGTCGCACATTTTCAATATCTCATCCTCTCTGGCAATGTCTATTGTTTAGAGATTCCACTGCGTTTAATTTATTACAGGAGAAGCTAGCTACTGACCTCTTGGAAACATCGACGCGCTTGCAAAGAACTGGAATACCGCCACACATTGATATTTTATGCAAGTTGGAACGGCTTGTTACAGCCGTGGACGTCGTCCCCGGAAAAGTTGTTGACGGTGTCAAAGCGATCGTCAGCGAGGCCGGCGTGTCAGCACCAGTATCAAGGTTTCAAATGGATTGTGCATTGCAGGGACTGTTGGAGCGAATCGAGAGTGCGAATTCGCAGCGCGATACACGTCTTCTCGCTTCGTTGGGAAGTCACGCGCTCCTACACGAAGACGGTGACGTTCGGAATGGGGAGAGGGGTCCTCAGGCTCACCGGGCATCTGGCGCAACTTACATGTGGGATGGAGCTTTCCGTCGATTGCGGCAGGGCTACAAATTACCGAACGCGACTTTACAAATGGGCTTTTACTTGTGGATGACAGGCAACAGAAACTCTGGCATACCGCCTCTTCGCGTCGTCACCGCTTCCGACTTCTTCTTGAAGCACATGCGGAAGCGGTTCTGCGAATGGCGGCTGGTGATGAGGCCATGCGAGGCAGTAGCGGCAGAAGCAGGCTACTCGGCCTCAGTACCGGACGAAAACGAGCTGCGAAGGATGTGGGAGGCTGTTTCCACGGGACTCGAACTTGCGCCGCGGACCGCGAAGGGCCGAAAGCGGGTGAGGGCGCATCTACAAGTAACGACGGTTGCACGCATTCTGAGGAACCAAACTCGTCTTGATCATTTACTCGTGTAAGTAGACACCATAATTAGCTTTCTAACTACTACCGCTGCCGTCGCAGCTGTAGCTGCACCAACTCCATGCAGTGGGTGGTGCCTCTGATCCGCGCCGTATACGCCTTCCACGACGCCCCTAACATCCCGATGTCCCCAACGTTCCGAATGCCCTCAACCCTCGAGCCTGACCAGCTGGTCATTTGGATCCCGATTCCCAGCCTAGGCTACCCAGCAGAGCTCCGACGCACCCGAGGCGCCCACGTCCCCGACACTCTCTACGCCCCCAACGCCTCCGACGCCCCCGACGCGCGTGCTCTGATGCGCCTCGAGGCGCGCGGAACGCATCGTCCGACTAAATTGAGATGCGTTTTTGGAACAGTCCAGGGCTGTGGAAGGACTTTGAGCCGCTGGCAGTATCGGGCTTGCGGCAGGGGTAAGGATGCTCTTTTGTTAGTTTCATCGCCACGGCGACGAAGGCCCCCCTCAACATAAAAAACATCAGCAGTAGTTAGGAGCGATTTGCTCACCCCGCTCGAAACCCTCGCGTGACATGTACCACGCGTCACAATGTTCATTGTGCATTTGCAGCTCGCCATTCGCGGCTGCGAACATAGTTCGATGCCGAGACGAGCAACGAAACAGAGCCGCGGCTGGTCAACATCTTGGTTACTATCCGCACGACGGTGCGTGAGAAGGTGATACATCACATCCCGTGTGCGACAGATTGGTTGCAATCTTCATCCGACGCGCATATGAGCGTTGCTCAGCTCCTGATGGCTTTCTATACTTGGCCTTATGTGAGTGGCTCCGCAAAGCCAGAGCGAGGCCATTGAATACCTGAAATCAACCAATTAATTGCACCTTTTCTAGTCGGACGCCCGTCCGACAAATTCCGCTCACAAGAGAACATAATAGAGTTCGATCTACTCGGCCCGATAAAAAACAGTACTTTTTTTGAGGTTACACTAATATCGTGGGAACGTCATTAGGTGTGCGTGTCACTATTTATATTTTGGTCTGGCAGCACTCCACACAAATTAGGGACACGTACAGTAATGGGCGTAGTTTCACTAATTGTTCGCTTACACTATTTGCAGTAACTGGGTGTACTGAAGCTGAAAAGCCCATACCGTACGAAAATTACACTTATGCAAATTGTCTCCGAAATACCATATCTACATAGCTTACAGTGGTAAATATTTGATCTTTCCGAAATACAGAGCACAAAAAGCGATTAGCGACTTTGCAAACAAAGCGCTCGTCCTCAGTTCCCTCTATTCATCTATCATCTGTTGCGCAATAAATGCAGAATCTGCCTGGTAGTTGCTAATATATTTGCTCATCTGGGTGCAGCCTGTCACAACGCACATGGTTGCTTCACTTAATCCTTGTTAGCAACAACATCTTGTAAAAGATCCCACAGAAGGGTTACCGGCACATTTGCATGAATCCCTCCTAGTTAAGTGACGGGACACCCGCAAGAGAAGAGTGAAGGCAGTTGTGGAATCACCAAAAATAATGCATATCTTATCTGTCGGGAGAGGCAAAAATGCAAAAGTAAATCCAAGTTCCTGCCGGGACTTGAACCCGGGCTTCGAGATTCAGAGTCTCGCGTGCTAACCAACTACACAACAGGAACGTCGACGAACATCAAACCATTCAATTGGCCGTTAATGAAGAAAGGTTTTCCGTATTTACACACACCCAATGAGTAACACCCGATCGCGATTACTGAATCGCGATCGGATGTCAGCCCCTTCCTTGCATTTGAATAAAATTACGATTTGATTAAATTTACTAACGATAAATTTACCAATGACTCGCGATTTGGCCGCCCCCTTGCTTGATCTCTAGAGTGAAAATTAAACGAGTTACGATTTCCGGGAAAAAATAGGTCCCATCCATGCTGCTGCCAAACATCAGATAAAACTAGGTCCTTTTCTGATCGCCCACCATATCTGCGTGGATTGGGCATGGGGTCGTGCAACGCGTTGCTGGGAGCAGGCTGTCGTATTAGCAAATATGGACAAGCTCCGGCACCGTCACAGTCCCTCATGCCCGATTCTGATTTGCCCCTCTTCGGTATGAACTAATTTTCAAAAAGCAACATCGGTCAAGTATTAACTTGACCGTCGTTGCTCTTTAAAACGCTTGGAGTTTTACCTGCTCACTCCATCCACACGTCGACGTTTATCCTGCTGACTACAATGACCAGCTCATGTTTCATAGTCCCGGGCAGAGTCCTGCATCCAGCTGCTCCTCAGTCGTGCCATCGGAGGAATTATCTCTCGCATGCCATCCAGTATCGTGGACCTCTCACATTCAGAAGAAGTATTGTCTTAACATCCCCTGATTCAGCTAGCATGCGTCTCCAATATTCATTAGTAAACTCCCCATGCAGACCGCGACTCTCGAACGAACGATCTCGAACCTTGCGATGCAGTCACAATACAAAACAACAATCCTCACTCCGACATAGACTAGCACTCTACCCTACTGCCGTTTGTTCGGTACTCCTTCGCTCGCACCTTTATATGTTGCCGGCTATGCCCAAAAGCTGACGTTCCGCAACTCACGCTTTTTTGGCACTGCGAAGTTTTGCATTTGGCAATACCTCAGCTTAACCGTTGGGTTGAATGTCCCTTCTGCCATTCATTCTTGCATGTCCCTTCTCGTCGCGGGATCTCTCATATCCGATAAAATTATTTCTTGGACCCCTACTGCAAAACCTAGCAAAACTTTGAGCAATAGAAAACATTCGTGAAAAGTTCTCGCTAACTATAGGAGTCTTCCTTCAATAACTCAAAACGAGATTGATGTGGCTCTTGGTAAATGGCGAACAGCCTTCTTCAAGGTGAGCAACGGAACTATATACCCTAGTTTTATTCCCATGTGTCTATTCACGGCGAGATGTCAGGAAAGCCCGGATCTGAGAGTGCTACGTCTACCTTTCACAAGAAGTGCCCTTCGCATTGAGGATATGCAATGACATGAAAATAGAGCGCCGCCCACAAGCCCTGCTAAGGATCTTCGGCTGGTCATGATTCATATTCAGGGATAACCAAAATTCATTTTCTGGGCCTCCGCAGATCATTTGGGCCTTCGCCCTGGTCTCTTCGGGTCCACAAATAAGGCTCTACTTTTGCTTGATAATGAGAGTAGGAATGGGGTGCAGTGCAGTGCAACCATTGTCGCACGTGACGAAACCAGATGCCAAGGGTAACCTCTGCCCTAGAGAGATTTCCCGAAAAGGAAATGTTTATCTACAGCTTTACGGACCTCCCAAACGCATGACATTCCTTTCGGGAAAAAAGCAATGTCCCCAGCTTGAACATCTGCACAGAATCATCGACAGAGCGAACGAACGTGCAGGCACAACAGGAAGAGCAGTCAAAGAGGAAAAACAAGTCAGTTAGCATCGCCTCTGTCATAGTCGTACTTTAAAAAACCCCAACGAGATATGCTCTAGTAGTTCTCTGCATTCTGAACGAAGGAACGGGCCCTGAATTGCACAGTTTTCGCACATACCCATAGAGTCGCTGCCATCAGCCGGTTTCACTGTGAAATCTCCCTCAAGAACGAGACAAATCTCGTCATCACTATATGTCCAGTCGAACGTACTCGGTTCGCACCCCCACTTGTCCCATGAGCGGCATCCAAGTTCCGCGATTACATTTTCATCGGCAGCTTTGATAACCTTCATTCCGCCACCTTTTTCAATTGCCTTCTCCTGAACACTCATTCGGGCCGGTTGCCGGGCGTTCGCAAGAACGAATCTGGTGTTTTTTTGCGGTGACACGGAAACTGAGAAACGGCGAGGTGCCACTCCAGGTGAAAGAACGAAGGCCATGTGAATTCGAACCGACTCAAATATGTCTCTCTCTTGTGATTCGTCAAATGATTACCAAGACAAAAAGAAACTCTACAGACCGCTTCAAAATGAGGTATGGATATCGCTCGGTCCCGTACGAAGCAAAGCCTTCCGGTAATGCTTCAATGGTAATCTACATTGTACAGTAAGATGTAACTCACGGTTTTTCTGGAGATCACTGAAGCAGGAACACTTGTGCGAATTTATGACCAAAATGACTAATTTCTGTGGGTGAATTCTGCACCACAAGAAAATGGAACAATCATAGGAACACCTTTCCACTCACCGGAAAGGGCAATATCGACTCCTACTATCGGTATCTCAGCTAAGTATTCGTTCTCAACTCTTCAGAACAAAACACTACAGTGCAAATGGAACAGGAAGGACATTGACTTCTTCCACTTCGATGGGGAATACCTGAAGGATCACCTGATTGTGCGGTATCGCACCAGCTTCGATTGTTGACCCTCACCAAGCTTTCTCGATAATCCTGATGTAAGCCATATACTACGATTTTACCAACGTGCATGCGTTTCAACAAGCAGTAAGGAAGCGTCCCTTCCAAGACCAACGGTGATGTATCTGCCTTGTCGTCACCTGGTTTGGTTGTTCCGGTTGTCACAAGTACTGCGTACACTCATTATAGGACTCTTTGACAAAGGTAGAGAGCAGCAAGAAATGCTCCTTGATGGATGTGAGACTTGCAACCTGGCTGAGTAAGATATCGCAGGTGCAAACTTTTGATGCGTAGTTTATACTATTTAATTATCGGCGTTTCTGAACGTGTCTTTCCTCAATACTGAGACCAGTGGCAATTTGTTCGACTACTCTAAAACAACAATTCGATGGATTGTCATTGATGGAGTACAACCTACGTTGGCAATACTTTTTATGTTTGTGAGTAGAACCATCTCTGCCTTTCTGACGAGTGAGCCTAGCTTTTGTAAAGAAAATGTATCTTCCTTCAGTATGTAGAATAAATACAATACCGGAAGCAGGGTCTATGCATATCACGAACGAAAGGCAGGGGATTTCATTACCATCAGCTGTAGAGATGCTATATGCGTGAGAATCCAGTATGAGAGGTGTAGGGGCTAGAATCTCTTTGAGTGAGCTCTATTTCTCAACCCCGGTGAAGTCTATTGTTTCCACAAAGCTAAAAAGGCCGGTCAGGCTCCACTCGCTCTTCATTGCTCACATTTTTTATCTAGTCGGACAATGAGAATGATAAATGAGAAGTACGATATCTTGACTTGGCAGACAGCGTAAAACGACCTGTGGGTCTTCCAAGAATCAACGTTTCACACATCTTCCTCTTTTTTTTTTTCTTTGGTCTTTCTGTGCAATTCGCCACATGAGAAGACTCCGAAAATGTTCGTACCAGCTAACATCACACAAATGAGAGGAATGCCAGGCTTGCTTCTGTGTAGAAAGAAATATGGATTTTTTTTGCAGCCTGTACTCGTTGCTGGACTCTTTTCTCCTGACTCTGCAACATTATAAACCACCTTAACCAACTTCTATTGACTCATGGGAGTTACACTCATTTTAAACAGGAGACAGCATCACCATAGCGATGGGGTCCACAACTCCAATGCGTAGACATGGCCTTTCCATATACAGCTTCTCTTAATAGACCGTACACAGCTGTAGACATGCTGCGGCCGCCTATCGTGCAGCCTACTGTACTGGTGTGCCCGGTTCCTTGGGCACCGTCAAATCAAGTTTTATTTGCTGGCCAGAGGCTGTTGGCGGGAATTCACCCGGTGCAAGCCTCCGCTCGTCGAGAATCCACTCGACTTCTCAGGAATCCACCTGATCTCGGCCTCTCCAATTCCCTTGATGCCCTCCTCCCTTTTTTCCTCCCCCCTGCCGCCGCGGGTTCCTTTTATGCTACCTACTCTGCGCCCTCTCGCCACCTCGAGCGCTCGGAACGCTGTCTCCCCCGCTCCGTCTCCCATCCCCCGCGACCCCCTGGCCCCACACATGACCCCCCTGCGCCCCTTTTCCCCTTCGCACAGTCCCCGCCCTTTCTCTTCGCGTCCTCCCCGCGGCTCCGCTCCCTACTTCCAGGCGCAATTCTCCCGTTGGCCGGTGCTCATCCGTGACCACGCTTATTTCCTTTCGCAGGCATTGCCGCCCTTTCAGAGAGCTTCCCACACGTGTAATGAAGCGCAACAATCGACCCTTTGCCAGCTCCATTGTGCACGGTCTCGAAGTGAATTCGTCCAGAGGTCACAGATTTCCAAATTCAGGCAACGGCATCCAGAGACGTACTTGCAGATGCGCTCTCGGTTTGCGACGGCGTGTTCTCCATTGCCATATCGGCGGCCGTACTCCATGCGGCCACTACCGCTTCGGGAAGATCTTCTTCCTTCGTCCATCGAGGGGAGCTTCGGCCACCAAGTTGTACCTGGAAAAGGCGGGTCTTCTCACCGCTGTCTGAGACCGCCTCCTTCACGCTCTTTATTTTACGCAAGAGCCGCAAGCTGTCAGGAAAAACCCCGTCCCTTGGGTCTCCGGTCTCCTTCGCTGCTATGTTTATCCTCCTTAAGCGGTTCGCATGCACGCATGCGGTTCGATTGCCTTGCTCAGAAATCACCAGGTAGCCGGTAGGGGATAATTTCTCCTGCACCACATAAGGTCCGATCCACGGCGGTGCGAGCTTACTCCCCTCAAGTGCGGCCAGGTCCGGTGTCCACACGAGTACACGGTCACCCACAGCGAAGCTCGTACCCTTTATAGCTGCATTGTAGAGAAGAGCAGCACGTTCCCTCTCAGCCTTTCCTCGACGCAGCAGCGACTCATGTAGACCCCTGAGGTGAGACCGGAGGTCGTACGGCTCCCCCGAAATTCGGTCTAACTCTCCGGGTCCCCACGCCATAAATGGCTCGATGCCGAACATGGCCTCATACGGGCTCATTCCTGTCGCGCGACTCCTGCCGGAGTTATATCTGAAACACGCGAGCGACACGTGGTTGTCCCAATCGTCTTGCCCGGTGCTTACGAAACACGCCAGGTCCTGGGCAAGTGTGCGGTTGAACCTTTCAACGCACCCGTTGGTCTGCGAGTGGAATGCAGACGTCGTAACCCTTCTCACACCAAGGGCGTCCGACATCCCTGACACCACTTTCCCGATAAAATTGGGCCCCCGGTCCGAAAGTAGGCATTCCATCGGACCAAAGATAGAAACCCATTCCCCCACTATTGCGGCTGCGATTGTCTCGGCCTTCTCGTCGGGAATCGCCACCGCCCGCGCGAAGCGTGTGAACGTGTCTACGAGGACGAGTATCTTGACATTCCCTCTCGAAGTCCTTGGTGTGACCGTCTGCACATCCACGGCGACTTGCGAAAATCTGCGTAAAGGGTGATACACCTGCATAGGTGCGTTGCGTGTGGGCCTCGGAGCCTTCACGCCCGCGCATGCAACACATTCCCTTACTCTCGCTTGGGCGTCTTCCCTCCAGCCAGGCCACCAAAATTGGCCTGCAATCCTCTCCTGCGTACGACGAACGCCGTAGTGCCCGCAAAGTCGGGAACCATGAGCGAAGCTCAAAACTGAAGGGACAAGCGAGCGGGGGATGATAATCTGACAATTTCGACGACTGCTCTTGCGGAGAAGGCCTTGACGGTCGATGACGAATTTCCCCCCTTCTTCACTCCGTGCGTGTTCCAGTTCCTCAGCACATTCTCTTCCTTGCGCCGCGCGTAGCTCCTTTGTGGACGGTCCGCCTACAAGGGCCTGAGCCGATCCGGGCTCTTCGATGGCCCCCGCAGTCTCCTCCACGTCCACTGACCGCCCGATCACCCCGAAGCATCGCTGGCACATCGGCTTCTCCACGGCGTCCCTGCTCAGGGCGTCGGGTACCACCATCGAAGCGCCGGGGGTGTACTTGACGGAGAATTCGAATTCTTGGACTTCGACCATCCATCGGGCGAGCCTACCCCTCGGCTCCTTCAGGCTCATTAACCACTTTAGAGAAAGATGGTCCGTCTCAACAACCAGGCCTGGCTCTCCATGAAGGTAGCATCTCCACTTCCTAAGCGCATGCACAATCGCGAGGCATTCTCGCTCCGTCACCGTGTACCGAACCTCTGCGTCTGTCATCTTGCGGCTTGTGAAGGCCACCGGTCTCCAACTGCTGGCGTCGGACTCCTGTAGGAGCACACCTCCAATCCCGTACCCGCTTGCGTCCGTCAGCAGCCTCTTCGGGGCGCCTCTCCGCGGAGGGACCAGAAAGTCCGGGTGGCTCAGGGCACCCTTGATGTGCCTCCAAGCTTCGGTTTGTGCGTCGCCCCACCGCGAGCTCCAATCCGAAATTATGAGCTTTTTCCCAGGGGGCTTGCGCTTGTTGAAGCCTGTACCCCTGAGGACCGCATAAAGGGGTCTGGCGACATCGGCGAAATGGTCGACAAACCCTGCGAAGTAGTTTGCCAACCCCAAAAATCGCATGAGGTCCTCGCCATTTTGCGGTTGCCGTAGATCCCGGATGCCCTGCACATGCAGGTCAGAGGGCTTCATCCCCTGCCTTCCGATCCGATGTCCCAGCACCTCCACTTCCTGTACCCCAAACGCACACTTAGAAAACTTTAGCCGCGCCCCTGCCGCCAGAAACGTGTCAAGCACTGATTGTAAGCTCTCGAGGTGTTCCTGCGCCGTCTGCGTTCCCATACTGATATCATCCATGAAAGCCCAGACATCCCTGCCCTTCCGACTTCCCAAGATGGAATTCACCACTCGCTGGAACACCGCGGGTGAGTTCTTGAGTCCTTGCGGGAGGCGTACATACCTAAGTAGACCGATGACGGTCCGTATAGCGGTGTAGTCCCGAGATTCTTCCGCCAGGCTAACCTGAAAAAATCCATCCTTCAGGTCAAACGTTGAGAAGACGCGCTTGCTGCCCATCCAATCCAAAGTACAGCGTACGTCCTCCATGGGGTATGAATCCCCAACTGTAGCCGCGTTTAGGCCTCGAAAATCAGAAGTGACTCTCGTAGAACCGTCCTTTTTTCGGACGAACACATTACATGCTGCCCAGGGAGAAGACGCGTGCTCCACCACTCCCATCTTGAGGAGCCTCTGCATTGCTGTCCGCTCCAACTCGTCCTCCTTCGGAGATCTGCGTCGGACCGGGGAGCACACGGGCTTGGCGCCTTCCATCAATGTGATGGTGTGTTGCACTCCTCGGATGTGTCCCAGGCCTTTGAAAACCTGGCGCCGTGTCCATAAAATCTGTCGAAGCCTCCTTTGCAAAGACATCTCTGGATGAAAATGAGACAGGTCTAACTCCCGAATTGCGTCATCCACATCCACATCGCCCCTGCTGTCTCGAGATCCAGCCGGATTTCCCGCCACCGTGACACTTTCCCTTCCAGCCGCCGCCCTTCCGCCTTGATTTTGCCTCTCATGGTACCGAGGTTGAGGATTAGGCCGTGCCTTTTCCAAAATTGACTCCCGAGTAGTAGTTTGGAAGGCAAACGCGATGCAACTCGTACTGACTCCGAAAAAAATCCTCCCCAAAGTCTGAAACGCAGCGTTCCCCTTCCACAGACGCCCATTTCATTCCCATCTGCTGTCACAGCACGGGAACAATCTGTCATCCATACTCCGCCGTGGTCCTCGAACCACCTCCGGTCGACCCACACGGACCGCGCCCCGGTATCCAGAGGAACCCAGAGGGCTTCGTCACCGACATCTACCTGTACGGCGACATCTTCGCGACCACCGGGATCATCGTCAGCGCAGCGACATACAGGCTCCGCGCCCGCTAGCGGCACCGCCGTGCCACTAGTCGCTAGTTCCGGTTGGGCAGTTGCGCCTCGCGACCCAAGGCGCTCGCCCTCCCTTTCCCCATGGTCGGCACTTCCTTGCTCCGTGACCGGAGAATTTTCTCAGGACAGTCTGCCGCAAGGTGTCCCTTGATGCCACAGCGGTAACATTTCGCTGTCTCGATCCAGTCTCCTGGTGACCCTCCCTTGACCTGCCCACCAATCGGAGCTGCCGTCCCGCGGTCCGCGTCTGCCGGCCTTTCGGAAGTTTGCTGTACGCGCTCATGTCGGAACCGCGTTCGATTAATTTCGGATGCTCTTGCTAGCGTCATCATGGAAACACGGGATGTGACTTCGTCAAATGTTCCCGGAATAGACAATGCCAAATTGCGCATATTTGCGGGTAGTGACTGTACGAAGCGATCCAGCATGATCTCATCGGAGATCGTGTTGGGGAGCATCAGGGCTGATGCTCGCACACGGCCAGCAAAATCACTAACCGTCTCCTTGCCTTTCTGCCAACTGACAGTATCGAACTGTAGACGGAGAGCCCTTCTATGGCCTGCATTGCATAGTCGCGGACCTAGTTCCTGCCACAGCTCTTCTGCCGTAGATTCCAAGTTTTCCGCAGCGACTGATTCGTAGATTGCCAAAGCGCTTCCTGAAAAAGCACAAGGGAGAAGGCGGCGATGGTCTCCGGCCATGACTGGGAAATCATGACAGAGCCGGTTCCACGCCTTTTGTGCGGCAAAAAAATTGCCGTCGCCGGGCTTATCAATTCGAACTGGTTCCATCGCACTAGAGTAAATCTTGAAGGCTGCATGGGGCTGCAGAACATTTCGATTGTTCTGTTCGACCTGTCGTGCCTGTGTGAGCTCAACAGATTGGTTGAAGCCACATTCCTCATCGGGTTCCTTTTCGAAAATTGCACCCTTCTTGACTGTGCTTCTGTCAAGTCGCATACATGTCTCGACTGCGACGCTGAGGTCGGTCACGGAGTCTCCGACCTGTACCACAGCGGCTGTGTTTCGGCTCAAGTGCTCCAGTATCTTGCCCATGACGTCCTTGACCAAGGCCAAGGCCTGAAGCAATATTTCATTTTGATTCGGATCAGCTCGGAGAACGCTTTGCCGTGTTGCGGCTGTGGCGGGTCCCGCAGGAGTTACTGGGCTGATAGCTTCTGCCACTGATGGGCGCTCGTCCGCACCAATGCCCCAACGTTCGGGTTCGGGATTGTGGTTTCCGTCCGGACTCATGTCGGCCCTTTGTCCAGAATCCATTTCCGACGCAAGTTTCTCGTTCGTTGCTCGGTTGACTGCACTTACAAATTTGTAATGTTGTGCCCGGTTCCTTGGGCACCGTCAAATCAAGTTTTATTTGCTGGCCAGAGGCTGTTGGCGGGAATCCACCCGGTGCAAGCCTCCGCTCGTCGAGAATCCACTCGACTTCTCAGGAATCCACCTGATCTCGGCCTCTCCAATTCCCTTGATGCCCTCCTCCCTTTTTTCCTCCCCCCTGCCGCCGCGGGTTCCTTTTATGCTACCTACTCTGCGCCCTCTCGCCACCTCGAGCGCTCGGAACGCTGTCTCCCCCGCTCCGTCTCCCATCCCCCGCGACCCCCTGGCCCCACACATGACCCCCCTGCGCCCCTTTTCCCCTTCGCACAGTCCCCGCCCTTTCTCTTCGCGTCCTCCCCGCGGCTCCGCTCCCTACTTCCAGGCGCAATTCTCCCGTTGGCCGGTGCTCATCCGTGACCACGCTTATTTCCTTTCGCAGGCATTGCCGCCCTTTCAGAGAGCTTCCCACACGTGTAATGAAGCGCAACAGTACAGTACTTTGGATTGTTGTGTTCGGTGAATTGCTACGTGGTTGGCTTACAGTAACGCGATCCACATATTGGGAAGCGAGTAACGAACGGACAAGTCAGAGAAGCCTGCTCAAGTTGATTTCAACAGAAAAAGGCAATTTGCCCCCTCCTATTCTTTCTCTGTCCCAACACAAAAACATGCCAAAACACAGGCGACCTGCCTTCCAACTCTACGCGCATCCACATCGAGTTGCCCGCCTCACTAACTTCTCTAACTCTTCCACTCTCACTGTATTGTGAGCTGCAGAGGTCTTTTCTAACGCCGGGCACGTGCTATATATCTGGAAGGTCAAGTCACCCTTGCAACTTGTACTTCTCAATCTGATTTGCGTATTTTCCTTTCGCGATTGATACTGTTGCCTGGACAGGACGATCGCTCCTTGCACCGCAAGGAGCTGCACCTATAGCTCGATACTGTACATCATATATCGCCATCGACCCTGCTCTTTCTCATTCGGATACCGTGAAGGTTCTGGTGCTCTGCGGGAGCCCGGAAAGTTGGAAACGCCAAGCTGCTCTCAGTTCTATATCAACATCGCGAGCTTTGCGCTGGAGGAGGTGTCGCGGTCTGTCCCTCAGCTCGCCGGTCTTAACGCGTGCCTTGCGGAGGCAGCAAGTGTCTATTGCCACCGTTAGGTAAGGCGTTCAGTATGCCAGAGCACTACGAAAAGAATGAATGCATTGGAAAAGGCTCTTTCGGGGAGGTATTTAAGGGCAAGGAGATTGCTACCGGAAGAAAAGTTGCGCTAAAACTCGTTGACTTGGAAAAGGCCGACGAGGAAATCGACGTGATTCAACGAGAAATTAAGGTCATGAGTCAAATATCAAACCCGTACGTCGTGCAGTATTACTCTTCTCTTATGAAGGGATCTACCCTTTGGATTGCTATGGAGTACATGGCGGCCGGGTCTTTGAAGGAATTGCTGGATGTCGTCGGGCCTTTTCCAGAAGAATCAATCGCTACCGTTCTGAAAGCCCTGTTCAAAGGACTAGATTACGTTCACAAAGGGCACAAGTTGCATCGCGACATAAAGGCGGCCAATATACTTCTCTCTGAGAACGGAGACGTAAAGCTTGCCGATTTCGGCGTTGCCGGACAAATGACAGGGACCGTCCGACAACGAAATACCTTTGTCGGGTCGCCCTTTTGGATGGCACCAGAGGTAATACAGGAGAGTTTGTATGACGAGAAAGCCGATATCTGGTCAGCTGGCATCACCGGGATGGAACTCGCAAATGGGATCCCACCGTATGCCACAGAGCACCCATATCGCGCCTTATTTCTAATCCCGAAGAGCGAACCACCTCGGCTTGATGGGCACCAGTTTTCGCGGTCTTGCAAAGACTTTATATCATTGTGTCTAAAGAAGAACCCAGTAGAGCGACCAAGTGCGGATCAATTGTTGGGGCATCCGTTCTTGAGAAAAGCCAGGACGTCGTCAATAAAGGAGCTTCTAAAGAAGAAGCATCAAGCGACTAGTGTAGAACAGACCGAGAAGGTAATACTTGGTGGCAACTCAATTGGATCATCTAATGGAACGTTTCGGCGGCGTGGCTCAGGGGCGAATTCTTCGGTAGACGCACAAGAGAATCCGCGGTTATGGGAATTTGACTTCGGGTCTCTGAACGACTCCCAAACAGACGGTAAGGACAGCGAGAAAGCCCCACAAGAAACCTCGGGGAATTCAGAAACGAAACAAACGGAGGGAAACGTAGAGCAGGTCACTCCAATACCGGGCAGCAGTGATGAAAACGGGGAACAAGATGAAAGCAGGAAACCGCGAGAATATGTTAATACGAACGGCGAAGTACCTGCCCAACCTCCGATTGCACCAGAAAATGAGGTTTTATCGCAGCTAATCTTACCAGTGATTTCACAAATTCGGGCAGATGTGGGTACAACCGGGTTGTACAACCAGTCTCTCATGGCAAGTTTAGGGGCACTAGAGGTAGCTTTCGTAGACGCAGAAAGCGCCAGACCTGGTGTGTCTACTGCTTTGTTCGAGTCTTTGCTTGTAGAGGGACTGAAATCGCCATCACCGAAGATTCGAGCTTTGTTATTGAAATGCTTCCAAGCGAATGGAACTAAGAAAGTGTAGATAGACCCCCTAGATACCTCGTGTTGGTAGTAAATTGAATCGGAGTTTTCGTTCCGCGTCTGCGTTCAATGCCTGGAACAGTTGCTTTGACATGGTAGACATGGCCATGTGAGTAGTTGACCAGAGTCCGACCGCTACTGACAAGGCAGCACCTAAGTTTTAAGGCCAACAGCGGATTCGGGCGTGCGCGTGACTGACCGAAAACCTACAAGGACTGCTGGAAGAGGACACATCTACAAGCGTCAAAAAGCACGGACGGTGCTCTACAGAGGTGTGTTTGAATCAATACACACCCGATAAGAAGTGTTCCAAGGACCTTGCGACGCCACCTGTGAAGCCATGAGAACAGAGGGCTGGAGGCGGTCCGCACCCGATATCCTCGGCAAAGGCGCAGTGTACCACCAGGGCGAGCGACATCCCATCGACTGCAGAAAGCAGGAGGTCAGTCAAGCTCTGCCTCGGCAGCACAGCACACAACCCGTTAATCTTCGACACAAAAAAATTCTCGACGAAGCTTTCATCCCGCCTCTGCAATGAGAAGCGGTAAACCACGCGCGATGCTTAGTGTCGGCGGTAACCTAGTCAGCTATCTACGTGACGCATTGAAGACGAGAGCCGGCGGGCCTCGCGCCGCAGCCCGTCACTGATGAGGGGCAGCTGACGACGAGGCGCGCAGGCGCCGCTCATGGCCAAACGGTACCGTCATCGCCTCTGGGTCAAGAGAACGCTGGGGACCACGGCTGAGGCGGGACGTTGTTGGGAACTTAGCCGGCCAAATCCGTCGGGCGGGCGCCGACGTCGTCTTTATATAGTAAGAAGGGCAGGCTGTGGCTCAAATTGTGAACGGGATTTTGAGTACTGTACACGTGTCATGATCCTTCCAAATTTAAAAAACCGGCAGGAAAATCAAAATTCTGTAAACCCTAAATACTGTAACGCGGCGGGATACCAGTTGCGACGGCAACGGCAACCATTTACAGTAGGATAAGCGTGATGGTCGGTCCGAAACACTGAAGGGTCGGGGGACACCACATAGCGAAGCCCAAGGCATGAAGCTATTAACTCCTTTCATCCCAATGCCTGCAAATATTGTTCGCCACATCAGAAAAAGTCAATGAAGATGAGCGCTAAATCGGTTGGTTCCGGCTCTGCGAGCCAGAATCAGGAGGGCTGGTACAATGAAGGGCTTCTGTGAGCAGAAGATTGCATGCTTCTTTGTGCTTCTTTTGCTCTCAACGTCGAGCGAATGCGGGTTTCAATGTGCAGTATTGTACATGTACTGTACCACGACGTCCCATCCGTTCATTAGAAACAATCAATGGCTCCTTGAAAAAGTTCCACGTGTAAGAAATACTGTATGCCAAAATGATAAATGCCCATAAACGTTCGCAGCGTGCATTTCGAAGGCGAAGCCTTCGTCAGATACTGTAGATGAAAAAAGGTACTTTTTTTAAAATTAATTCCCCTCGACGTGAATTCATGGGATGTTGGACAATAGTCGTCTCCTACACTTCAACACCATCCCGGGTCTCCAATTCTGTTTATTTGCAGACTCGCACCCTCACCACAACCCCCAGATTGCCCAGCATATCCGGGACAACCTTTTCAAACGGCTGGAAGCTAGGACATGACTTGCTTCCCATCTTCGTAGCTTTTTCATCGCTCTCCCCGCCTTTGAAGTAGCAGCAGAGGACAAAACTACCACCACAGCAACTCATCGCGCTATGTCTCCGGAAGCGCTATCTCGCTTTTTCCTGTGTATCGCCGTCATTCTTTGCACGCTGTCCTCTGGCGAAGAGACCTCGCGCGCCGCGACGTCCGCGGGAACAGACGGCGGTTCCCAGTCATCCTCTGACAAAGTCTTCCTCCGCTCGATTACGGCGCTGACTTTCTCCGAGAACGGCCGCACAAGCTCCCGCTCCGGGCCTGGTCGCTCCGAGCTTGCATGTGTCGGCGGTTCAGCGTCTGGCTTGTGGTTGTTCTCAAACTACTTTCCACATCAAGTCCAATGTAAAAACATTGGATGGGATGGCGCAAGTATCCAGTGGGCTTGCGAGGGACACCTCGATGATTACGTCGAGTTTGGTCCCGATACACAAGTCAAATGTCAGCCGTATGACAGGGACAACGCTAGCGATGGCTACGTCCTGAGAGACAGCTGCAGGCTTGAATATACCCTCAACTTTTCAACCTTTCATGTCTCCTTCGTTCACGTTGTTTATGGTACGTGTATTTATGGGCATGCCGCGCACGCTGCGATGCTTTATTATTTTTCTACTAACAAAGTCTTCGCTTGATTATCCGTTTTTGCCTGCGCGATGAGGAGCAGGTTCTATTCTCACCCTGGCGCTGCTGTGGTTCTATTATCAAACCAGGTTTTTCGTTCACAGATTGTGAGTTGCTTTTCAATTTTCGGCTTCGTTGAGTGTTCACGCTCATATAACAAGCAAAGACATCTGTAAGACTGACTATTTCTACGTGATGCTTCCATACCTGCGTCGTTTCCGGTCGTCAATGTTACTTTTAAAACAGCTTCAAGCGACGCCAAGAAGAGATAGACAAGAAGAACGCAGAAAAGGAGCACAACCCATAACTTGACTACTTCGCTTTTCGCAGGGGTTCAATACCAGTTCGAAAGAAGGTGAACAATGTGAAGAATGCTTGATGTGGCCGCGGCCGTGTCCTTGCCACACCTCTGAAGACGGAGAAAGCCCGTCTACGAAGATACTTCGCCGCGCCGTGGCACCGATGTGTGCATAGCAAATAATGTTCAAAGCTGGCTGTACGCTGGCTACTTGCGAAGGGCTAGCAAGTGAAGGCATGGTTGGGTACCGTTTTATCATGTGGGAATTGGAGATGCTAGTGTCTGAGTGACACATGTACTCATGTGAGGACTTTCGTCTCATATGAGGTCACTTTTCAACTTATTTTTTCTCGACTTGTGCTTGCTCGACAAAAAGGAAAAAGCTATGCTCGCCACCGCAGTTGACTTCTGCGTTGCGGAAGAGTGGAGTTTTGTGAGATCTGCACGTCTTTCCAGCCATTTTTAGAATGTCTAAAAGAGAAGCCTTTTTGACAAACCTCAGAACGTTATGTGTTGATATCTTCGAAACCAAAACGCTTGTTTAAAAGGTCAACTTGGCGTAGCCGGATGTTGGTTCTTAACCTTTCTGTGCATTCACAACTGGTATCCCATTGTTTTGCAAGATGTTATTGCCGAGGGCATAAACGTTAAAGAAATGGTGTCCAAACTGACTTTATAAAGTTTCGATTTAATGTATATATTTTTGCAAAAAAATGGCCTCATGGGCATGGCCTCATATGAGGACATGTCTGACCTCATGTGAGGCAAACTGCATGTCACTCAGACACTAGTGTCTATTCGACCAGTGTCCTCATATGAGGACTGGCGCCTCATATGAGTACAGTATTTAAACAGTTCCCGCCACTTGCTGGTTGGCGGGAAACCCCAACCGATACTCTCTCCTATTCCAAACACCCATCGTTGGTGCTGGACAGGCAGGATTCTCCTTATAAAACTCCCATTTTGTTCCGAACACAAGATGTTTCTCAAACTACCACCCATTTTCATATCACTTTGCGATTCCACTCTCACCATGGCTCCCAAGGACATGCACTTGGTTCCAAATGCTACCGTCCACGCTAAGGCCAATCGCGTTGTGGAAGGCATTCTGTGCAGACAATTCTATGGATATATGTGGAAAACTAAGGAAGTGCTAGGCACTGTGATCAGCACAGAGACGAAAAAGCCAAATCTCAAGACCCAAACGTTTGCCAAGGGTTCATGGGAGCTACCATCTGGAAACGTAATAAAAGCCGTGCTTCTCCGGCACGTACGAGCTGTTACTCCAGCCCCCCAGGCACTGACGGCCAAATTATACATCATGCACGTCACGAGACTGCCGATGATATTGATTTCGCACGGGCCCATCTGAAGCACCGCATGCACAACCCTCGTCTTGTGACGTACTTCCTCCCGCTGCAGCACAGGGCCATGTCATGGAGCAAACAGCATGTCATGGCCAGATATGGTCCTCCCACGAAGAAGACGGTCATGTCAACGGCATTGTCCGGGCGAAAAGATGGGAAATGAAGTTACCAGATGGCAGTACAGTATCTGAAGGTAGTGAATGGCGTGAGAGAAACGTCTTGGAATACTTCTTTATGACGTTCCCAATGGAGTATCTGCCTAAAATTGTACAGCTTACATCAGAAAGCTTGGCAAGTGCAGGTGAAAAGGCTAAAACTGCCTCCGAGCTCCACCAATGTTTCGGAGTTGTCATACTTATGACAGGATTTGAAGTGTGTGGCTCTCGACGTTTCTTGCGGGAGACACAACCGGTCAGAAAATATCTCCCAACCCCCAATTGCAGCTCTATAATGCCCCGGAGGTGGTTTTGATGCACTTTTTGCAAATTTTAAATTTAGTAAGGGGCCAATAAGAAGCGCCGTTACAGAAGACGCACCTAAACGTTAGGGCATGATTTCAGACTTTGCAGAAGCCATCAACAACCACCATGTGCAGTTCTTCGTGCCATCGGAAACCATCTGCATCGACGAATCTATCTCGGGGTGGTATGGATTGGGGGCACTGGTTTGATATTGGATTGCCCCATTATGTGGCTCCGGACCGCAAACCCGTGGCAGGTTGCGAAATACAGAATGCAGCGTGCGGATCAAGTGGATTTATGCTAAGATTGGAACCGGTAATGTGTGCAGACGATACCGCAAGAAAAACGTTTGAAGGGACCACAAATCATGGGAGGGCTGTTATTTGGAGGCTTAGAGAGCCTTGGACCGGATCAAGACGCATGGTTGTCGCCGATTTGTATTTTGCCTCTGTAGAGACAGCTGAGCAACTGATGAAGACAGGGCTGAGATCTACGGGTGTCGTCAAGACTGCTACAAAGCGGTTTCCCATGTCTGAACTCGGACGTACTGAGCTGACAGGGCGAGGGGATACTGTTTGTTTGCAGATTACAATTGAACCAGCTAGTACTGTGCTGCTTGGTTTATGCTGGGTCGACAGAGCTCGACGATATTTCGTATCGACTGCTGGCTCAATGCGCCCTGGTGCGCCTTACGGACGTGTAAGGTGGAGACAAGAGAGTGATGGTCTTCGTCGGGTCCACATTGAAGTTAGGCAGCCTCAACTGGTTGAGCACTACTACAGTGCGAGCTCGGCAATGGACAGACATAATCGCTGTAGGCAGGATGATTTAGGTATGGAGCGAACAGTGGATGTCAAGGACTGGCACAAGCGTGTCAACTTGACACTTTTGTCAATCTGCGTGGTGGACTCCTAGCTTCACTATAAAAGTGGAATTGGTGCCAAAGGGCACATGCCTCAGCATGTGCTCTACGCAAAATTGGCTGAAGGACTTGTGGACAATGTGTCTGGAACTACTGCTTGTCTAAGAGTTTCAAGCAGTAATTTCATTGGAAATGAAGGCTTCATACCCTCCAGTGCAGTCAGAGAAGACCTATCACCGACGAAAAGGCGCTGTTTGTGTTTTAGAAAGGTTAGCAACGCAGTGTATCAAGGCCGGTTCTCTGTGTGCCAGCAGAAATCAAAGTTTGTCTGCTCTAGCTGTAAGGACGACAAGAACCGAGACATTTTCTTGTGCCACAGTCAAACTGGGCGTTGTGGTACAATTGCACACCGCGACCCCCGGTGGGAGATGAGAACCGTCGGGACGGGCGGTTACTACTGTAGTAATCGTGCACGCGCCCTCTGAAAGCACAGTAGTACCTCCTCCCCGGCGTACACGTGACACAACCGTTGGCGCCGGTCGTGGCCACGGGCACACGTGTGCGACCCGTCCGGTAAGTAATTAGCAATTAGTGGTTAATGGTACAAATTAGCCAATTTAGTACAGTAGCTGGTATACAGTATGTAACAGCTACTGTAGCGGGACAGGTGTCCTGGCGTCCCACTTAGGGGTTAAGACCGGGGGCACCTGCCCCGTTCCAGTAAACGGAGGCAGACTCGCCTCCCCTCCCTTTACGGCTTTATGCTAACTCCGTCTGGTTTTACCTCTAAGTCTCAGGCTTCTAACCCGTGACCGGCCGTCCGGATCTAACACCACCGACCGGCTGCGCATCACCGGCCACGTGAGCCTTCCCTCTTTTCGAGTCGTTCCGTACGGTTTGCGCTCGCGTGGGTTACCCAGCGTCGCGCGCTCCCTTACCTCTAACCCCCCTCGTTCCGAGTGGTCGGGACGAAGGTAGTTATACCACATTTTGGTACTCTTGTGGAGGGAATAACTACAGAGGTTGAGCCCGCAATGGATCGCCAGCGCGAGCAACTACCGATCGGATTGAAAGAGGTCGAAAATCACCGCGTCGATCGCCAGTGATCATCGACGATGAACCGTGCCGATTCCGCCGGATAAGATACCGCCTCCGGGCGAGCAAGTACCCGCAGTGGCAGAGGCGCACAGCGACCCCGGATCGACAATCCGGAAGCCCTGCTACGCCCGCCGTCTACCAGGGGCCAGAAGACCCTTTCCGTTTCGGACACCGCCGCCGGGCTACCGGCTGATGGGGGAAACCGCGTACAAGTACTGTACGACGCGTTACTCCCGCGACTACAAACCTGGATGGAGGATTTCCTCGCTGAGGAACTACCTCAGGTCGTCCAGGTTTGCCTCGAACGAACGACACCAAGACTGGTGGCGGAGCATGCGGACACCGCGCTCCGCGCCCTGCTGGACGAGAAGATCGCCCCTCTCGTACGCGACGAGGTGATGGCAGCGCTCGCCGCGGAGGAGGACGAATCCCCGACCGCGTTGGCTCAAAAGGGAGCTATTCGCTCCGCCGTGGCCATCCGTCTGGCCACGACATTCACCGAAACAGGAGGCGCGGTACCGCCGCCGGCGCCGCGCCGTGAAACCGTTCCGGACTCAAGCTTTCATATCGCTGATCCGATCAGCGCCGTACCCGGGATTGATAGCATGGGCCCTCACCCGGAAGGCAGAGCCATCTATCTCCCAACCGTTCACGGTGCTACAGGGAGGACCACAGAAAATGTCCTCCCCATACTCGCCGGTACGGGCGACCCCCGCGGGACAGACAACCGCCTGGGGCTCCCCGAGACAGAGAATCGGGACCCGTACCGGTTGAGCAGAAGACGTGCACCCGGCACGCACAGGATCGAAGCGGAATACACCCAGTCTTCCGACGCAGAAGACCCCCGTCACAGGACGGATGAAGACCGCGAGGAACGCCGCTGGCGATACCGCCATAACCGCGAGGCACGCCACGGGCGATACCGCGATGCCGGAGGGGGTGCATACCCCTCCGATGATGACCCATCCGGTTCGGAAGACTCTCGTAGGCGGGGCCACAGGGCACGCCGCGATAGAAGCCGAGACCGGCACCGGCACGACCCGTCCGACTCGGAAGACTACCACACCGAGTCGGATGAGGAGCGTCGTCGCTCGAGCAGACACCGCCGGGCTGCCCCGAAGAGCGACGAGCGACGGCCCACGGTAATCAGGCCCCTCAATGACCTGTTTACCAAGGCCGTCAACTACAAGACCTACCGCCTGGATCGGCGTAGCTCGCGCTACGACTCTACGCGGCACATAAACCGTTACCGGAAGAAACTGGACGTGCAGATGAGGTCCCACACGTTCAGTGGTCAAGATCCGATTGCGGTATTGGGATTCCCCACACGCCTCAAGATGGCGTGCGACCACAACGGGATCACCGAGGGAGCCGCCGTGTGGTGCGTCCAATTCTACCTCACCGGTCAGGCTCATGCCCTACTCCAGTCCCGTCTCAATGGAAATACCATGGCGGTTGACGTGGAGCGGTGCGAACTGCTCAGGACGTACCCGCAGGTCGTCAACTTTTTGTTGCGTACCTATGCGACCGATGAGGTAATTTCCGAAGCGGTTGGTGACGTGACCTCCTTCCGTCAAAGTTCGAACATGACGGAGGAGGTCTACAGTAACCACCTCTGGGACAAGGCCCTCCGATGGGGTACGTTATTCTCCGACCGGCGGTTGAAGTCCCTATTCGTCGAGGGGTTACTTCCCGCCACGTGCGCGCAGGTCCGCAATTACCTCGCTACGCACCCGGATGTGGATTACCAATCCGTGGCTCGATACGCGCAAGCGATCGGGGAAACCAATCGGGCTTTCCGCCGGCAGGGGATGTCAGCCATGGCATCCCGGGAGCCGTCCGGAGCGGCCAGA